CATTTTCACAGTTCTGGCTGCAGAAGTCTCATGCTGGTGTCACTAGGGGGAGCACTTACTCCTTAAGAAAACAAGGGAGGAGAAAGAAAAAGGGAGAAAGTTCCCAAAGAAAGATGCGTTTTATCTGACTGTCCCTAGGGGGGTAAAGTGCAAAACAGTTTAAAAGTCACAAGTGACTATAAAAGAAACAATTTAAAAGCAAACAGCACATTTAATATGTAATGCAAATACCCAGTAATGCTTAAGGTAAGGTCATTTGGTAAGAAAAGTTCTATCTGTGAAACTGAGCAATAATAAAACTGACATTATCACTCAGCTAAAAGCTCTTAATTATGATTTTTGAAGATTCCGGTTTCTGACAAATAGATTATTTGTAAATGGACAACTATCACAAACTTCAGTTGACTGTCTGCCTGCCTTCTTAAATTATTGGAAGGCAACATTCAGACAGACATGCTCCAAACATCCGACATGGACTTTGAGCACCTCAGTAGGAAGGAAGTAGGCAAAGGATAGTAAAGGAACGAAACTTAACAAGGGCTCTACTCAGAATACAACCACCCTTGGAAATAGGAAGTAGTTCTATTTGACAAATGAAAAGACCAGAGCTCAGCAACCATAAATAACTTGCCCATGTCACACACAGAATAACAAGCAGAATCAAATACAAGTGTGTGTGTGTGTGGGGGGGGGCCTCCAAAAAGTTCATGGAAAAGATAGAACTAAAAAGATAATCAAGCTTTTCCATTAACCTTTGGAAGTCCTATTGGATAATCCAAGTCTCTGATTCTATTGCCTATCATATAAAAATCAGAAGATACTTAATTCACCTGGCATTGTGGTCACTTTCAAATCAATATGCTTTACTCTATTAAAAGCTACATATTAGTATCACAGCATAGAACCAAAGAACAAAAACAACATCATGTATGGTTTGCCCTTCAAGAGCTTACAACCTATTGGACAACAGACACGCATGCGCAGGCGGACCCACAGAGGTTACGGAATGCAAAGCAGTAATTGCCAGTTGAAGGCTGCAGTCACTAAGTGATGCAGGAGCTCAGAGAAGCCTGGGATCTTAAGGATCCAGCAGTTGAGGAAGTTTGTATGGAAGATGCAAGGTTACAGCTGAGGTGGGTAAATATTGAGCAGGTGTAATGGAAAGGGATTCCAGAATGGGGAAAAGCAGAGTGAAGGCGAAGAATACATATCTGAGAAACCATGAGGAGGTCAGCAAGAGTACTTCAAACAGAGATGGACCTTCCGCGGAAACCACCAAAATATCCATCAGCCAATGAATGGATAAAGAAGATGTGGTCTATCCATATGCTGAAATGTAATCAGTACTAGTACACACTACAGTCTAGATGAATCTTCAACACTCTGTGGTAAATGAAAGCAGCCTGCCACAAAAGGCCACATACTGAGTGATTCCATTTCCATGAAATGTCCAGAATGGGCAAAGACACAGAGACGGGCAATAATTAGCAGTTCCCAGAGGCTGGCTGGAGGTTGGGGAGCTGAGAGGAAATGCAGGGTGACTGCTGATGGGTCTGGGGCTTCTTTCTGGGGTGATGAAAATATTATCGAATTGACTATGGTGACAGCTGCACAATTCTGCAAATATACGAACATCATTGAACGGTCAATGACTGCATTGTCTCTCCATTACAGCTGGGAAAACCAGTGAGGGGCTGGTGGGAGATGACATTGCACAGCTTAGATGGAATTACTTCTGGAGTGGTCTGAATGCCAGGCTGCAGAGTCTGGGATTTATGTGGGAGGCAATTAGCTATTCTTTATGATATATATGATTTACTTAATGAAGGTACAGTGTACACACTTGGGAGGCTGCACTAATAAAATTATTCACATGCTTGAAGCACATTCCTAAAAAACAGGCCAAAACCACATAGATGGGAGAGAACAGGAAAAAGATGTTGCTGTGTGATTTTGACTAAGCCACAAGCTGTGACTATTAGGAAAGTTGTTTGCTTCAGTGCTAAAATGCCACAGATGGATATATCAGCATCATACTTATGCAAAATCACAAATTCATCTGTGTCAAACCTTCAAAATACTGTCATGTTCTAAGCTTCATTAGTAAATCACATTTTAGGGCAAGATCATGAAGAGTGTGATGCGTCTTCCATTCAACAACAGGAGTCTGTATAAAGCTGCTTTAGGTAATGGGTTTACATGATCATAGGCTTCACTCACAGAAAGCATTTCGATACCAACACACTGAATTCTAATTTAACATAATGTTCCAAAATCATGGTTAATAAGTAAAAGTAGAAGAAAATGGGGGGGAAAGGAAATCTGATAACACAAAAGCAGAAAGAAAAAATAAAAACCTGAATGTAAAATATCTAGTACAGGACATAATGTTCCCCAAAACCAAACCAAGCCCACTGTTATTGACTGGATTCCAATTCATAGCAGCCCGTATATGAGTTGTTGCAAAGCTGTAAATCTCTATGGAAGCAGAAAGCCTCATTTTGCTCCAGTGAGTGTGAGCTGCTGCTGACCTCGCAGTTTGCAAACCCAGTGCTTCTCCTAAAGCACCACCAGGGCTCCTTAGGATAAAGACAAGCATTCAAAAAGAAACCTGTAAATCATGAAAAGAGAAACAAAAAAACCCAAAAACAACTACAACCCAGCATTAGGTTCTATAAACCCAACCCAAAAAAACAGTCATAGAGTTGGCTCTGACTCAGTAGCAACCTCACAGGACAGAGAAGAATTGCTCCGTAGGGTCTCTGAGACTATAAGTCTTTATGGAAGTAAACTTTATCTTGAAAAGCAGGCTGGTAGTTTTGAACTACTGTCTTTTTGGTTAACAGCTCATATGCTTAACCAACTATGCCACCAGGGCTCCTTTTTAAGTTCTATAGCATTGGAAAATATAAATGAAGAACAAAAAAAGAACCAATGAAATTTAAAGCAGGAGGCACAATACTTAAGAGCAGATGTGGAAATTTGACCATAGGAAAGTTTGGAACAAGACGGAGCCTCCCGAATCAGAGAGAAGAAAGGATCTTTCTAGCAGGGTTGGATGAGAGGTGACATCCCGCTCTCCCCCAGGACATGTTGAGATGGTAGGAACACAAAAGAACTCTTTGGTCAAGAACCCAGATACAATCAAACTAGTGTTTGCCTTCCCAGTCACCTTGCAAGCCTCCTTCAAGGCAGGTGAATCACAAGAAACTAAAGACACTGGATCTCTTTTCAAACTTTCCTCCGGTAAAGAGTGGGCCCATCTGTCTCTGTAAGGGCTTTGTAAGTTCCAGGATTGAGAGAAACTTACAGTCTGTGTTTGCGGGTGGCGGGGGAGAAGATATAACTTAAGACGACCTGATTCACTAACAAAATAGAAAGCAAATACGCTGTATCTCCAAAGAGCAGCTTTGTCATAGATACCTAGAATAAGGTGTCTGCTGTCACAAGGAAGTAGAACAAGAGTCTCCATTTTCTAATTGTGAGCCAGCATTTAAACTCTTCAGCAGAAAGTTATCTCAAATCATTCACTGCTGTATGCTAAAAGAAATTCATCCAAACTTCCATCAACTGTCTACTTGGAGTCAAAGAACTATGGGAAAAGTCAAATGTTGACAACTCTTATGTGCCATTTAAACATGTTCAAATATTAAATAGTGCAATATCCAACTAGAAGAAAAGCTGGATTCTTTCCTAAGTAAACACCAAAAACACAGACTGTGAATTTTACATAGGTTGAAATGATGAGAATATGTTAACAAGAAAGAGGAAAAAATATCATCAACAAAAGGTCTAAAATCCAGAAACACTTTGAAAGAACAGATTTGTGAGACTGGCCCAAAATACATATACTGATATTCTAACTAAAGTAAGAACAGATACTTAAGATGACAGTAGTAGGCTAAAGACTAATAAAGAAAATGGAAATCAGAATTTTTTTTTAAAACAGAATCATCCAGTGAATAACAGGACTAGAAACATGATATATAAACAAACAAGAAATCTGCCAACACCCAAAACTAAGAAAGCAGACATAAGCTAAAGAAACAAGAATGGTAAATACTTATCTTCCGAGAGATATAACAACTAAAGTTTTCAAAATCTGATTTTGAAAAACAAAAGTGAAGACTACTTTGTCAAAACGGGAGAAAGTGCACACATTTAAGCAAATTTTAAAGCAAATATGTGTTTATATGCAAAATACCTTAGGAAAATTTGGTTCCTACGTATAAATTCATAGTTGTGTTCATTTATGTTCACCTTCATCAGTTTTTTAGGAAATAAAACCTACAAATACCAAAATTTTTAATTAACTCGGAGAAATCTTATAAATATTTACAATAATCACTTGTCTGAAGCGATCTGTCAAATCTGTGATATCACTGGAAACTTAAATGAAAGCTCAATTAAAGAAAAAGTCTCTCCAGAAAAATTATAAAGCCCCTATAACAAAAGTAATATCAATAGGATACCCTGAACAGCATATTCCAGCACCACTATCTCCTGAAGGATTTTTTTTCTTTAGAACTTGCATATCTGGACACCCTTGTCTCCAGTGATGAATTTTTAAATTCACTGTATGAAGGTCAGTGGTTCGAGCTCACCAGCTGCTGTTCGGAAACTGTATACAGGGTCGCTATGAGTAGGAATTGGCTCAACAACAACTCTTGCCTCTAAACTCACTAAATCCTACATGAGAACAACCAAAGTTAAAAAAAAAAAAAGAAGAAGAAAGAAAAAGGGGGATGCGATTCAACTCCAGTCATTAGTTATTTTTTAAATGTTCTGTTCCTGCAAGCAGTATTCTGTAAATTCGGTCTCTTATTTGATTTCCATTCTCAAATTCCTAAATTCAGACCTAGATTCAATTTATTTGTAACATATTTAAGTGCATTGCATGCAAACGTAATCTGTGGGAAAATGTAAAGCAAATCTGCAGAGAGCCCTAAGCATTCAATGGAGGCAGTCAGGAGCGCAGTGATTTCATAGAATGACTGTACCTGAGCAGATACACAGCCCTTTCAATATCGCTGAGCTCTTCATCAACTGTCAGTCTTTCTATTTCTTCTGGTGTCTGTCAAGTAGAAAGGACAAATTATGCCCAACAAACGGTCAAGTCGGACTTGCCCACCAGTGACCCTCAAGGAAGAAGTCCCACCAATGACGAAGTTTCACAATTCCCGCAGGATCAATGGAAACTAAGCAGGGGTCTGAGGGCTCTAGGCGATGGGGAGACAGGGGAAGCACTTGGGGTTTGGCTGGTGGAGTTTGTGTTGGTTTTTCACTCTTCTAGTTTCTAGATCGCAGCTTGAGGAGCACATTATGACTTCAGAACCTTGCAGAAACGCGGCGTTATTTGCACATACAAAGAAAATACACACTTGTGATTGCCACAAACCAAGGCTATTTCTCCAGAATTTTCCAGCCCAGAAAAGGCTCACAGGGCTGGGGGTGATGAAGACTGCACAGGAGTGGGGATGAAGAGAACGGAATCTGGGGGCAAGGGAAGGGGATCAGCGTCCCGAGAGGGAGGCCGAGGAGGGAGAGGGGTTCGGACCAAGGGAACGGTGGGGTTGGGGGTCTGTAGCCTAGGTTTGCCAGCAGTGAGGTAGAGGGCCTCGGAGGCTGGAGGAAGATGACTCTGCGGGGTGGGGAGCAAGCTGAAGGGTGACGGAGGTTGGGGGGGCAGGGCCCCCGGGCAGAGCTGGAGGCCACATCCTGGAGGGGCTTGGGGGGACGGACTCAGGATGGGACTAAGGGTCTCCTACCGAATGGGCATTGAAGACCGGGACCAGGAGGACTCTGGAAGGTGACTGAAGGCCCCAGCAGACTTGGGGGTCCTGGCAGGAGAGGAGGAGGGTGGTGGAGGATGGGCTCCGGAGTCACCAGGAAGGGGGTCGTCGGGGTTGTGCTGACGGTGGGGAGGCCCGGGATAAGCGGGAGGTAGGGGCCACGACGGCAGGGCGGAGGCTGCGGGCGAGCGACCGTTCCTGGGGCCCGGGACGACGACGAGGGGCACCTCTGAGTCGCCCCTCGGGGCCAGGGGACAGCGGGGCTGGCTCAGGATCGGGGAGCTATCCCTTAAGAAGGGATCGGACTGGGGCGCAGCGACGAGGCCGGGCTGTGAGAGGGTCCCGGGCCGCCTCGGGACGGGACGGTGCCGGGCCCCCTTCTCCCCGGGGCGCACCTTGAGGCTGCGGCGGACCGGCCTCTCGATGATGGTGAGCTCCTGCAGATCCTCCATGTAGCCAAATAAGCTGTTCTCACTAAAATCCATCGCGGCGGCGGATGCATGGAGCGCCGGGCCCCCTCGCCACCCGGGCCCGAGCGGGCCGCGGCCGCCCCTCAGCAGCACTTTCTCGCGCTCTCAGCCGCAGGAGCAGAGCAAGAGGCAACCCGCAAGCGGGAGCAGGAACGCTGCCTGCCGCGGCGGGGCGGGCCAGCGAGGGGGAGGGGCGAGGCGCGAGGGCGTGCTTTGGGGCGGGGTTAGGGCGGAACATCCACGTCGGCTCCGCCCCCTCCGACCGCACTGCCACGTAACGTCTCAGCGACCACCGCCTCCCTCTGCGCCCGCCCCTCTCCGCCCACTTTTCCCTCGCGCACTGCCCGCAGCCAAGTGCGCTCCATCCAGTGACGCGTGCGTAGAGCATTCCACCTTCCGCGGTTGGCGGGAGCGGGCTGAGGGCGGGGACGGGAGCGGGAAGGCGGAACCAAAGAGGAAAAGAAACCCAGAAGAGAGATGGGATAGGGGTTTAATGAACCTCTCTCCTAACCTTCCAGCTAGCTGTTAATAACCTCTTCTGGCACGCTGGGGACGTAAAGGCCAACCCAAGCCCAGGGACCGCCCTGTGGGAGGGGCAAATAAGTGATCATAATGTGTACTTGCCTGGGTGTTGGGGAGAGGTGTACGGTGATGCATTTCTGTAGGGGACTCCAGGGGAGAGAGACACAGGCTGAGGCTCAAAAGATCAGAAAGGGTTTGCCAAAAGGAATTAGAGATCGTTTGGGACAAAGGGACCAGCCAGGAAAAGACACGGAAGATTACTGCCTGAGTGTTTCTGGTTTTGAGAAGTACAGTCAGTGTAGTGTTTGGGATGTGAGGGGAGCCGGTGCTTGGCAAGGTGGGTGGAAAAGGGAAGCATGTGCTTTAATGAGAAAGGCCAGCTTTTGACACATTGAATCGCTTGCACTTGGTTCTGTGGAAAATAGGAAGCGTGAAAGGGGTGGACTTAAGGGGTAAGAGTTGTGTTGGTCAGACTTCTCAGTCGTTACATCCATTCCTGTCTCCCATATGCACCTCCTCTCCCCTATGATTAATAAGCATTCGAGCACCGGGAAGGATGCTAATGCTTTTAATTTATGTATCGATGTTTAATACACATGAATGGTATTGTGCTAAAGAACTCATGTTTCTTGGTTTTCCAAATACATAATGTTTTAGGGGTTTCTCCATGTGACTAGATATACAATAGTTCATTAACTCTGTCCGTCAATATCAGGTTTATGTGTCTAATAACTTTTACTTATTTTTACTTTGTGCTTAGTTATCATCTAGTCAATTGCGATTCTGCAATTGGTTAAACTCGGGACTACTAACAGGTTGGAGGTTCAAACCCACCCAGAGATGCCTTGGGAGTAAGGTCTGGCAATCTGCTTCTGAGAGGTCAGAGCACAGGTAAACATCTTTCTGGTATTCTCAGCTTTCAGCCAAGATCCATCGTACGTCAGAGATGATATCGCTCTTTCTGCATGCTCATCTAAATCAGGCTTGAGCTTTTGGCAGTTCCCTGTCAATGTTGCAACTTTTTAAATTATCTTTAGCAAAATTTTACTTCTTTGTGATATTAATGATACTGTCTGATGATTTCCATCTTCGGGATTTCTTCCAATCAGTTGGACAACTTAGTTTTATTCCCAGTTTCTTGGCATAGACTAATGAGTGTCTCCAATGCTGCATCAGATTGTTGAAAGATTTCAATTTGTAGTCCATCAGTTCCAGGAGCCTTTTAGTTTGCCAATGCCTCCAGTGCACAATGGCTCTTAATCATATGCTGTCTCATGAAATGGTTGAACAGTGACCTTTTTTTGGTTGTTACGTTGCCTCTGTGTATGCCTTACATCTTCTTTTGATTTTTTTCTGCATCATTCTATATTTTGCCCATGTTGTTGTTGTTGTTAAAGTGCCATCAAGTCAGTTCCAACTCATAGCAACCCTGTATAGGGTTTCCAAGGAGCAGCTAGTGAGTTTGAACTGCCAACCTCGCAATTCAAACCTACCTGGTCATCTAGTGCTTTATCCTACAGTGCCACACTAGGACTCCATTTTGCCCATAGACTCCTTCAATATTTCAAATCAAGAATAGAATTTTTTCTTCAGGGCTTTGAGCTTGAGAAATGATGAGCATGTTCTTCCCTTTTCGTTTTCTAACTCCAGGTCTTTGCACATTTCATTATAATACTTGACTTTGTCTTCTTAAGTTGCCCTTTGAAATGTTCTGTTCATCTCTTTTACTTCCTCCTTGCTTCTGTTTGCTTTAGCATCTCTATGCTGGAGAGCAAGTTTCAGAGTCTTCTGACATGCCTCTTGGTCTTTTGGATTTCTCCACTTACATGCTGATCTATTTTGTTTTCATATCGATCAGTCTGATATCAAGAAAGTAGAATTACATTTTCATTGTTGTTGTTGTTAAGTGCCGTAGAGTTGATTCTGACCCATAGCGACCCTGTCTGTATAGGGTTTCCAAGGAGCATCTGATGAGCTTGAACCCCCGATGTTGCAGTTCAAACGACTTTGCAGTCTGACGCATTAGCCCACAGCGATACATTTTGATTATTCATCTGTATTTCTTTGATGATTGGTGATGTTAAGCATTGGAATGAGAACCACAGGGTCGTTTCAAAACCACCAGCCACTTAATGGAAAAAGATGAGGCTTTCTGCAAAGAAACCCTACACAGGATCACTATGAGTCGGAACCAACTCGATGACACTTAGCAATTTAAGAAACATTCCTTTTTCTGTGAAATACCTGCTTATGTTCTTTGTGTATTTTTCTGCTGGGTCTCCTATTGTTTTTCTGAATGAATTGAAGGGGTTTCTTTTATGTTTTAAATATAAGTCCCTTTGCTCCAATGTCACAGACACCATCCAATCCTTCATGCATCCTGTTAATTTGATCTTTGGTGTCCTACAGTGAAAGGAAACTCCTTAACTTTTATGTAGCCAAATGCATCTAATTTCAGCCTTGTGGGAATATAACTTTGGGTCTTGTTTAAGAATCTTTCCCCACTGAAGGTTATCAAAATATTCTCCTACTTTTAATTCTAGTTGGCTTTATAAGGTCACCTTTCAAGGTCTTTATCCACCGGGAACTCACCTTGTAAACAGTCCCCAATTTACAACATGTTGATGAACTGTACTCAGACCATCTGCTTTGTTTGTTTGCTTGTTTGTTTCTGTTCTATACTTATCACTATCAGTAGTAATATGTACTATACATGTAATTTGCAGATGGTAGCATTCTCATGCCAATTCTCAATGACAACTAAAGATCAGGTTTATAAAGATACCGATAATAAAAGGCAATGATCATGAAAACAACTTAGGTCAGAACTGACTGACCATGAATTGTTGGACTGGAACCTCATTGTAAAGCAGGAACTACCTGTACAGTGAGAGTAGGAATTCCGTTTTATTTTCTCCACACAGTGAGCCAGTTTCCCCAGCAGCACCCACCCAAAAACCCATTCTTTCCCCAAGAATGTGTGACAGCTGTCATATGCCAAGTCCCCATAGACACACGTCTGTTTGGGGCTCTCATTGCTTATCTCTTGACCTTAATGAGGTTTTGTGCCAGTATGGCATCAGTTTTATTGCTTTGGATTTGTTTTATGTCCGAATACATGATGGGTACCTAATACCTACTTCCCCACGCTTTGTTCAAAATTTTTTTTTTTCAATATCATCTGTGCAGATCAGTGTGAAAATGGTCCGTAGTGACTATACAACTGAATCTCAAGTTTTCTGATCCCTCCTGGTGTGGCACTGTAGGATCAGCACTGGACTGAGAACCACAAGGTTGTCAGTTCAAACCCACCAGCTGCTCCTTGGAAACCCTATACAGGGTCACTAGGAGTCAGAACCAACTTGATTGCACTTAACAACACCAATCCACTACAGAAGGGGCCGTGATAGTTCAGTAATAGAATTCTCGCCTTCCAAGTCAGGAAGTGGGTTCAGTTCCAGGCCAGTGCACTTCGAGTATGGCTACCACCCGTCTGTCAGTGGAAGCTTGCCTATTGCTATGATTCTGGACAGTTGTGAATGGAACTTTCCAGACTAAGATGGAAAAAAAAAAAAAAAATCTGGTGCTCTGAAATCAGCCAGTGAAAACCCTGTGGATCATAATAGTCCAATCTCACTGATCATGAGGCTGGTTCAGGTAAGACCGGGCAGCATCTCATTATGTGGTGCATGGGGTCACCCTGAATTGGGGGAAGACTGGACAACAGCAAACAGTAACAATAGTTCACCAAGGAGGAGTGAAGGGAAAATGATAAAATTAGGATGGAGAAGCAGAGATGTGGGCAGGTGGTTTTCCTTAGCAAATGCCCAATGGCCTCCTTTTACTATCAGTTTCTGAAACTCTTGTCCTGCTCCCGTGATTCGTAACTGACACTGAATATGACCGCTGGCTAAGAGGTATTATATTAGGATTCTGTTGCAGTATCATTATCATCTGAGACTGGATGGAATTCTTAAGGAACAAATGATGAGCTGCAGAGGCATAGCTTGGATGGGGATTCTTCCAGGGCAGGAGGCTGATGACAGGAAAATGTTCATTTCAATGACAGGGATCTGTAACTGGTATAGTTACCACCACCTGGTAAGAGGAGCCCTCCACAGCTTGGCTGCCAGGAAAGCTGAGCCCTTGTCTTGGCTATGCCAAGAACATAGGTTGTAATGTGAAATGACACCAGGAGCCCTGTTTTCCTTATCGGAACTATTTTTTAATGAAACCTATTGTCTCTCTGTGCCCTTGGGGCAGCCCTATGACGGACACGAACCCACATCACCATTCCAGTTTTATCAGCTGAACGCTCTGCTAGACGAAGTGTTAACCACCATGGCTCCTTTTAAGCTGCAAGGATGGTGGTAATTTGTTATCACAGCAATGGGAAACAAATACCATTGTCTGTGATAAAATATTTAAATTTTATTTTTACCTCATACACAAAAAAACAATTTCCAGTGAATAGAAGGCCTAAATGTGAAAGGACAATTTTCAAACTTTTGGAAGAAAATATGGGAGAATGTCTCTATAACATCTGAGTAGGAAAAACATTCGTAAACAAGCATATGCTATAAAAATTTAAAACGGATAAATCAACCTGTAAGATTAAAAGTTTTTATTCATCAAAAGACTACACTAGATGATGACAAGATAAAACATAGATGGGATGGGGGTGGAACTGCAACAAATTAAATAAAGATTATTATTCAGGATCAAGACTTTTTTTAAAACTCTGTGGTGCTATAGGATAAGCACTTGACATTAAAGTCAGTTTGAACTCCAATGTCAGCAGTTCAAACTCACCAGCTGCTCCTCAGAAACCTTATACAGGGTC